AGTTAAATGACGAAAAATTTTTACTTGTGACCACTCAGTGTATGTTGTTCGGAAGTTGACTATGAATGAGTAAATCTTTAATCTTAGTGTCTGGTTTATAAGGCATTAGAGGTTTGTTAGAGAACATGTGACCAACGGTATTGTCCCGTGATGTGATGTGGAAGTTGTCAAACAATATAAGTGTCACCTGTGTGTTGAATGGGTGAAACGCAAGCGTAAGAGGAATGTGTTGATGATCAGTGGAAGTAGTAATGCGTTGGTTGAAGCGAGGTTGGACGCGTGTAGTTGGAAGTTTTGAATTGTCTACGGTGTTGGTGTTATAATTACTAATGTGATTTAAGCTAAGCAACTTCTGGAAAGCTAAATTCGGACGTTAATTTTTAGTATGTTCATTATCTTTAGTGTTATGAAGAAGAGAAGTAGGGTAGCCACGATTTTTGAAAAAGTGGAGCATATTGATAGATTTGCTATTATAATCTTTGTCGTTTTTGCGGAGCGTACGCAATCTGGTGAGTTGTGATTTGGCAAAGTTTCTCTTGACATACTTCGGATGACTGGAATGAAAACTTAAGTAGCTATATATGTCTCGGTTTGTAATGTACAGACATCGCGAGATTGCCATCATCAGTCATGGAAAAATTTATGCCAATAAATGAAATTGTTCGGTGAGAAATAGAAGACGTGTATTAAAATAATGTGTGAAAGTATTAAATGAACTGAACACAAAGTTCGAGTTTATCATTAGTGCATGTCACTATACCGAAATCATCATCAGTATATCTACAATATAAGGCAGGGTTGGTACTTATGTAGTGGTGTGCGCTTAACAACACCTAACCAATTATTCAAATTTCAAACACGCACAAAAATATAAAGAATATTAAAGCTAAGTATTAAAGTTATAAATAATACAGTATCTATTTAATATATTAAGAACACAGCAGGTTTTTCATTGGTGTTATTAGCACTGAAACTAATAATTTTCGGGTAGATGATGTAAATTGAAAGCAATTCTGTATCTTCAGCTATATGGCAATTCCTGTTGTAATGTTTCCTTTATATGGGCGCGTTCTTTTAAATTATTTGGTGAAAATAATTTTTATTCCAGTCCACATAAGAATAACGAATTAGTTTGTTTCTTCTTATCAGGCTACTATCATTTGTTATACATAGTTGTACTTGTAAGCCTAAGTTTACAAATGATGTTTCATCGGAAATGTCTCGCTAATGATGCTACGCTAACCCCTCTGTCATTTATTTGCCAAACTCACTAATAGATCTAAATCCCTTTGTGAAGCAACAGCATCCTCTTCACAGCTAGCAAAACCTAAGACCTTAATACTATCAGCAAATGTAAGTAATTTATTGACCATTCCTTTATCTATACCATTGATGTAAATTAAAAAGAGCAAAAATTCTAAGATTGAGCCCTGGGGTACCCCACTTCTGAAATTTATTGTAAGCTGATGTACTCCTTGCATGTAAAAACTTAAGCTCCTCTTTCTCACAATTTACCCTTCTCTTTATTTATTGCCTCTACTTTAAGTATAGCCTCCAACTTCTCCTCCAACCTAAAAACTTTGCATAAAAATTGCACATCTTTACTACTAGTACTAGATTCTTTAAAAGTAAATAAATGTCCCGATTTCCCAAATATAACCCATTCATTCACCCATCACACCTAACAAACTGTGAACGCTTAACTCTAACATCAGTCTTAACCATTGTATTTGCAGCCTGGAAATAAGTACTTAATACTAAATGTTTGTAGGTCTTGAAATTTTTTAACAATAAAGTGTCAATAGACTTGATTCTATTAAGAGTAAAAAACAAAAACAACGTTCTTTGGCATAGTGAAAGATAAAATCTCTATTAGAAACTTTAGCCCACTACTTTCAGTAACACAATTATCATAATTGAGGTTAAGCCAAGCTAACATAGTTGTCACTAACTCTGATGATGGTTATTTTGTTATCGAAATTATTCGGTTGAAATTTATAATAAAGATTTTATCTTTCATTGTGCTAAAGAACATTATTTTTGTTTTTTACTCCTAATATAGTAGCACAATGTGATTGAAAAGAAATTATATTTTGCTGTGACCTAATGGGTACTGGTACCCAGAGTTGAAGCGCGGATACGAACCTAGCGCTGTCTATTGGCGCTAATCAGTACTTTCGAATATTTGTGAGATTATATTTAAAATGGCGTCATCCATTGTATCTGTTGTGAGGCGTGTTTCTTTAATGAGAAACCCACAGAGTTTATATCACTTTCAGTTTGAAATAGTCAATTCACGAAGTTTCAAACGATGGGTAGCGCCTACCCTGAAGATCATGAAACACAGGAGGAAGAAAGCTGGTCCAGAGCCTCTCAGGCATCGTTCTGTTTGGCTGAATTGGAATTATACAGCTGAACTCTATGCCTTTGGTCGTCGACTGAATGAAACTTTTCGCGATGAAACTCTGAGAACAGCTCTCATACACCCTTCTTATCTTGAGCAAGAAGAAAAGCAACGACAAGATTTGGGAGTTCCGTCGCAAGCTGTTTCGTTGAAACTTGAACATAATAGTGGTTTAGTGGCCTCAGGAGAGAGCTTAATGAATACATACATTAAACAGTATATAAGACAGGCGTTCCCTAAAGTACCAGAGGAGGGAATATGTGAAATTTGGGAATATCTTGTTTCAGTAGATGTTCTCTCACATGTAGCAACACATATTGGACTTTCAGACATTATTTTGTGTGCAGATTTTCCCCCAGAAAAGATAACATTAGCCAAATCACTGAAAGCTATTATTGGAGCTTTAGAATTTGACCAAAGCAAAGAAAGAGCTGAGTATTTTATTCAAGATTTTGTAATCACTCAACTGTCTGATAAATGTATTTTCGATTTATGGGATATTCCAAACCCCATGGCAGTCCTTCAGAATATTTTGGAAAAAGAAGGTAAAGATCCTGCAGAACCAAGGTTGTTATGGCAAGCTGGATCAAATACTATTTTGGCACTTTATTATGTTGGCATTTATAGTAACAGAAAATTTCTTGGTAAAGCCCCAGGAGAAACTCTAGCAATTGCTGAAGAGATGGCAGCACGAGATGCATTAAGTCGAATTTTTGGGTTAACAGAAAACCATAAACCCTTACCATTTGGTAAGCAAGGCCGTCAGCTTATAATTAATAATAATGAAAATAATTCTAGTTTAAGTAACTGGATGCTTTCAAAAAGTATTTAAACT